AAGAAGAAAAGATCCGGGCTTTGAAGGAAGCAGAAGACAAGAAGGCAGAGGAGGAAAGAGCCTGTGCCTTGAAAGCAGCAGAGGATGAGAAGAATGCAAAAGAGAAGAAAGCAGAAGAGAACAGGCAAAAGCAGCAGGGTTCTGAGGTAATCTCAGAAGAGTTTCGTGAGAGATGGATTGCAGCAGATCAGGCGGCAGAGGATATCATGGAACGGAAAAGGAAGAAGCATGTTGAGACAAAGGCATCAAGTTCAGCAGTTGACTTGGCAGCACGCGCGCAAAGCCTAAGTCAGCAACTCCAAGTTCTTCTCCCCGTTCTGGGAAAGAAGGCGCGCAGGTCAAAGCAGAAATCCTCGCCGCCATGGGAGATGTCAAAACAAAACGATCGCACCAAGGGAACCGAGAAGACTACATTGAGGAGCCAGATGTGACAAGCGGTGAGGAAGCAGAACGGGGCTTTGACAAAGGCACCTCCAAGGACCGTGCGTGCATTCCAAGTCCTCTTGACCTCTCTTGGTTGGAATAACCACCGAGGGAGTCCAGGGACCTCGTAGTTGGCCCTAACTTGTTTGTGTCCTCCCTACTCGCACTATAGTCCCATTCCCACCTGCCACCTGCGTTTCATGGATCGACCTATTGCGACGCCCGTGCTTGAGGACACGAAGCCACTACTTGCGGAAGTCCCGTCTTTGACCACATCTCGTGCAGACCTCGAGAAGAAGGCTGAGTACGCCAAGGTCGTTTTGCAGGCCGGGCTGGGGTTAGCTCCATAGTGCTACACTAGCTGTTGTGCTTTTTCGTCGTTGGTGAGGGTCAGAAGCGGATGAGAGAAGAAATTAAAGACAGAAAGCGTGAGGCTGAAGAGGAGGCTGCAGAGAAAGCAAAGCAGAGAAGGTCAAAGAGGAAGTCCAAAAAAGAACCGGCAGAGGGAGCGGAAGACTTGGCACTGGAGCAGGAGCTTGCCAAGGTTGACCAGGAGATTAAAGATGAAAGGGACAGGGATGATTCAGATGCCAGTGATGGCAAGCGCAAAGGGCGAGGCCGAGGAAAAGGCCGAGGAAGAGGCAGTCGAGCGAAAGGCCGCGGCCAAAGCGGCGCTGTGGCAAAGTCAGAAGCTTCAGTGCCAAGTGGCTCAAAGCGTTCCAGGTCCAGCGATGCTGACGAGGCCGGTGCAGTGAAGCGAGGAAGGACTGAAGATGGGAAGGAGGAGGAGGCGGAGGAGGTGGAACAGAAGACTGGTGAGGCTGAGAATG